GATCAGACGTGGTAAAATCGAAAGGGAGAGAAAGGAGATGCTTTGCGAAAGACTGAAATCGTGGTAAACTGCGGATGTCGCGAACCAACGTCAACTGGTACGAGTCTCGCCCACGAACGATGCTACGTATCGTTTATAAAATTCTGCCCACACGTGGCACGAGCCTCTTCGTCGCCTCGATCGTCGTTCTCGTTGAGCTTAACGCTCTTGACCCGCCGCTAACAATAAGTCCTGCCTTAAACTCCTATGAATACCCATTTCCATTTGCAACGCTCCAATACGTTCCTTCTTCTGTCGCAGAGATCGCAGACGCGTGGCCAACCAGTGATTTAAATACAATCGACATTTATCTGCTGTTCAATTACCAAACGTTTATAGCAACAAGAGACGTCAGAGGTGCTGTCCAAAGTTGACCGTATTTTTAACAGACCTATTATCCTTAACAGCCGAGTTTCGAATTCTTTGTTCGCGGTTCGTCGGATGGAAACACGGAGCTGACTGGTGCTACGATTAGGCCATTAGCCCATCCACCGGGCAAACCTCCTCTCTGTTCATCGAAAAGTTGTTCGCGGAACTTTGGGAAAACTTGGCTCCGCTACCATCGCCATCGATTCTTCCGACCAGTTTTAACTCTTTGTCGTGCTTATTTAGCAAGTATAGCAACCTACTAGAAACATGGCAGACACGTTTGAAGAAAGAAAGAAATTGGCAAGATCTGGGACTTGCGTCTGGACGAAAAGTCGAGTGTTCAAAGCGTGTGGTTTTTTGTGAAAGCGCATTTTCCCCCCGGGCTGAAGGTACAGGGGTGTCGCACCCTCGTCACGGCCGCCGCGACAGTTTTTTCCTTGCCCGACAGTGATCTCGACGCGGTGCGCGGCTCGTTTTAACGGGCAGACAATGAAGAAGAATGTAAAGTGGCGCGGCGGCGAGGTTCCATTGCCTTTCTCGCAGCCGCATTGTTGCCCCGTCACAGACGCTCCAGGGAACGTTTAATCAAGACTCGCGCGGATGAGAATCGTCCCTACTGTTTCTACTTTAACGATTCCCGATCGACGTTCTTCGATACAGGTAGCCGTATTCTATGTACAATACGAGATGTTACTATGAAAAATTTGTGAGAGGAATACTCAAAGAGCAGAGCACCGCTACAATTTTTAACATTTTACGATTTTAAGGCGGTCACCCATCTTCGTTGGATAAATACTCGACTCGCTCGCCTGCCCATCACCTCACCACAAGTTAAATGATAACTACTAAAGTTCATTATGTTCGAACGAAAGTTCAAAAGACTATGCTCCGAAGCGTAGGTGTACGTATACGCGGAATAATTAGAGAACCATCGAGGGATACGACAGGAACAAACAAACGCTTGACGTTTGCCACGCTAATACGATTCTGATAATTGTTTCCTTGGGCGATGGGTATGAGTGGAGGAGCTTCTCGTAAAATTCACGGTGAATAATTCCGAGTTGCGCAACTCCGATATCAACCGGTTCGCATCGGTAGATCCGCCAAGTTTCGTTCTTACGTAAAAGTGAATCATCGATGCGTCGCGAAATATTCATTCATGTTCTATCGATTACATAGGAAGCTGAAGCGATTAATTACCGATGCGCGTGCTCTTCACCCGCGGAAACGAAGAAACAAACGACCATTTACCCGGTGTAAACGTTCTAAGCTGAAATAGCACGGGTGAGCGAACAGATTAACGGAGATAATTGCCTATGAATTTTTCACTAGCCTAACAAGTGGATCTACGAGTTACGTACTAAATTCTCGATATCGCGCAAGTGTTCTTCCTTTGAAGGGTGCTTTCACGCGAAAGCCAAGCAAGCCATGGTGTTCCAGCAGCGTCAATGAACGCTGACCCGAGAGAGATAAGGCTTCCTAATCGCCTACAATTTCAATGGTGTAGACTCATTCTCGATTACGACGGACTTCTTACAAACCGAGCCACGCACAAACACATACGCACGCGTGCCTCTATTCACGGAAGTGGACCAATGAAAGACCATGCGGGCACGTAATCGCGAGCCTTTTACGATTTACGTGATCGTGTTACAGTTATACATGCCGGACATTGATTTTTCTACACGGTTAACGCGCGGTGCGAAACCGAGGTATCCACGAAAAACGATCGAGCGTTCTACGGATCGTATAATACAGAGTGAGATGGAGAGCAACGTGAGTCACCGATAAGCGGAAGTCGCGGTGAATCGACCTTCCCCGTTAGACGCCGCTTATAATTACGACCAGCCACTTAACGAACTGCACGTAGAGCATCGCGGAAATCACTCCGGTTCCATCCGTCAACAGTCTTCCACTTGATCGTACTCGTTTTACTTAACCCCTGGATGGATTTTGTTGTCGAAGTGGATTCTCGGGGCTAAGGGCTAGATCGAGGGCATCGATGAACGGCTGATTGGACAGATTCCTCTAAATCGAGTCTATTCGAGTGCGTCGGATGGGTGGGAAAAGCGGAACGAGAAATAGAGATACGAACCGTGGGACGTCGCAGTGTTCTCTGCGATACGTCGCGCACGACCATTCGATATCCAAATGCATAATCGCGTTGACGCAGTCCGGAAAGACGCTTTGTGCTTCGAATTCGGAATGTCCAACACCGCACGGAGAGAAGGGAAACAACGATATCTTTCTAACTGGATAGAAACCGAGGTGGAATTTAAAAAGCGAGGAATAAACAGGGAAAAGGTATTTCCGTGGGCGGAAGCCGCGGTGATTCGAGCTTCCTCCCAAGTCGGTGCACGTGTATTTACACACTTCGTCAACTCGAAGAACCACTCGACCGTGTCGACGCCGTCGAGGAGGATGGATTAATCATCGATTAGAAACGACTGATCGGTAGTTGGCCTCGAGTGTAGCTAAAGCTTGTCTCGTCCCAATGAATCATACAGACGCGACGTCGCAGACATCCCCAGCCCGCCTGTATAGGTACACCTACGAGCTTTCTCCCTTGACTTTTCGTTCGAGTCAATGTTCCCTGGTCACTATGCACCGCTTAAAACAGAACAAGCCCGATAAGACTTATCCACGGTGCATAGCTAATTAGCCTAGATTAGAGCGTAATTATTAGTGGTAACTACGTAGGAGGGGTGCACTTTGTAGACTTCCTGTCTGCGGTCGTTTATCATCTCCCTTTGCTTACAGCAATCCAAGCAATGATTATTCACATAGAAAAACGCGCAGAAACGCTAGTAGCGAAAAGGGTTAATCGCCTGAAAACCTACAAGCGTGGAAAAGGGATGCTACTCCGGTGAAAGATGATGTTATCTGAATATGCAGAACAACAACAACGTTCAAGGACTCTCAGAGTGTAAGTGAGTACCTTCACGGCTGGCGCGAGCGTTCCAAGAAGGACGAGAAAATAACGAGACGCGGGATCGCCGCGAATAATTAAGCCGTTGTTACCGCCGACGCTTCTTCTTTCTCTCTCCCTCTTTCTCCCTCTGACCAGCGTGGAGAGCGTGAAGGTTGTTTCTGTGTCGTTTGCGTTTAGGCAAACGTAATACCGTCGGGGAATATTGTTTCGCTAAGAAACCAGGACGAGGCTGTTCGAGGGGACTACTCGACTTGGATTCGTTAGCAACGAGCCTGTAACGCCCCGAGAAACAATGTCTTGGATGCCGTGCGCTTGCTTCCACCGAACGAGTCAACCTTTTACGCTCTTACGTTTGCACGGCCTCGACGCCGCGTCGCGTTCCTTTTTCTTCCAAGTTCAACGCAACCGTGTAACGCCTCTACTAAAAAGACACCAGAATTTCTTCACTTGTATACACACTTATATACCGCCGATGAAAACGTTGCAAACGGTGTACGACGACTGTTAAAGGATAGCGGGAAAAGTGAGAAAAGTGGACGTTTACACATGGTTTAACATCGTACCCGGTTAAACCTTGCAAAACAGAACTGTTTTCCAACGTTTTCGACGAGGACACAATAGCGTTTCACGGTATATCTACCGTCGAAAATCGGAGAAGCGATAGATAGATAGACGGTGGACCGTCGATATTATTCTCGTTACACACATCAGGTCCGGATAAATGATTGATTCAGATTCGGCGAAATCGTCGATACGGTCCCGTGTGTTACCTATGTATTTACGCGTGTATGGTTTGCTCGTAAATCTTCATCGATCCGTCCGGCGATCCCCCTCCCTCCCGTGCCCCCTACCAAAACGCCACACGGAGATAAATTTCTCAGCTGGACATACTCGTATGATTTCCTACGTTTCTTTGTTTATACGGCAATTATTCATCCCGATAAAAGCGTGGCATAGATAACCAGATGGCTCTATTGCTTTTTGTCGGGGAGAAAAAAATCGTACGATGCCAGGGGCTCGCGGTAACGCGCCTATACGTATTAATAGACTATAGTAGGTTTCGCATTGTTTGGCTACGCGAATGCTTCTGCAGCGCGCGATATTCAATTCTCGCGAACCTTCTCTCGATAATTTCGTTTGCATAATAAATATCGACAGTTCGATCGAGCCGTTGTTTCTTCGAGTGAAACGTGTAGAAATTTCGTGTCAGCTCTGACGATACTATACCGCGAGAGTAGTTTCTACATCGACATCCGTGAACTGATGCACGACGCAACTTTTTAAACGCGTATATACGTATATACTATGTACAGGTACGTGCAGAAACATGTATATACGCGTTGTATATAGAACGGAGTACGTGAATGTCACAAAGGACGTAAGAAATCACAATGAACGATTTACGCTATCGACGAGAGTTAGTCACACGGTCGTGACACTATGACGAATACCTTTGAAAGAAACTTAAGCTGAATTCTTCGAATGCGTCAAGTGCACCAAACAAACAAAGCTACCGGAGAGAGAGGTTGGAATTGTCGCACCATTGAAATGTGTCAGAGGCACGCGACTGTTTCTCTACTTGGTTTCGCTGTCGATGTAGAAATAGATGTTTTTTCAATGGTTAGGTTGAATGAAAATGGGGGAAATTCGGATGACTTACCGTGACTTTCGGTGTACACGTCAGGCAGGATCGCGAGTAGCACCAAAACCAGCACCAATTTGCACCGCACCATCATCACCGTACCACCGACGGTACATCGCGAATTCGAGCACCAGATATCACTCGGCATGTTTTTCGGGCGGCGATTCGCAAAGCACGAGGCTCACGCGAACGTCATGACAACCGGTTATCACGTTTTTGCGTACCGTGCTCTATCTGCTTTCGTGAAGCACACCCCACACCGTACTGACCACCCTGCCCGACTGCTCCGCCGGTTTGGACTGTTGCGACACCTCTGGCTCTACCTCAACCCCCACCCCGCGCCTGTATCGAGCCGTAGAACCGCACGAACGCGTACGAACTTAGCCGAGCTCGAACCGCGCCAATTTCAACCGTCTTTCAATCCTCGATTTCTTTCCTCTTTTTTTTCTCAGTTGATAACTGTCCGCGATATATTGATCTCTTTTTTTCTTGACCTCTGTGAACATAAATCGACGATTGGAGGCTATAAATAAAGCGCAAAAACAAGGCTAACGTGCTACTGTAAAGTTCGAAAATATAATTAATAAAACTAAACAGCATATTTACCGTTTTCGTGTGAAACTTTTAAGAAACGGAACAGCAATTGTAATCGGAAAGTAGAATGAACGTTATTTGAAATGGTCACCGGGCAATCGATGGAAAGGCCGGAGATTCCCGTATATCGATCAAACTATAGAAGGGAAACTTAACGTAGTCGATGGACGACGACGTGAAATATTAAGAGTCGTGTCGCTAACTGCATTTCAATTTCAACCATGGAGAATTTGCGCAGGGATTTGATAAAAAGAATAGCGATATCTTGTAAGGAGCGTGACGTAGACACGACTAAAGATTTCGTCTCCTTCTTGGTACGTATTTTACGACAGAAATTTTTCATTTCCAATTAATCCTCTCGTAATTTAAATGAACGTTATCTTCCTCGCTTTACTACAGCTCACTTTGTTTCAATTAAACCCTACATATGAAATTAAAGCGGACAACGAAGAAAATAACGAGAAAATTATTCAGGCGATAGTGGAAAAAATATGCGAACAAGATAAGCCAAGTTTAACCGTATTAAAAACTCAATTGTATTTCGCGAAACATTATCACGACAGAGGTGACGATTAGCTTGTTAAACCTATGAAACAACTAGTACAATATTCCCTCTTATCCTCTTTTATCGCGTAGATGAGACTGTTAAGGGGCACAGGCTACGTTTGCATCAGAAAACTGGGCCAATGGTGGCGGAAATTTGTCACACCGAGAAAATTTCGAACAAACAAGAGTCCGAAAGACTGTACCAAAAAATGCTGGTGGTCGTTACTTTTCTGAGCGGCCTTGGAAATCCTACCGTGCCCTTAGTGGTTAGGTAATTTGTCGAAAAATGATCGATCGAGATAGTTAAAATTCGAGAAAAATGCTTACCTTGTTTCAGAGAAGTTTCGGTAGCGTTACAAAGCGTTTTTCAACCTATGGAATTGGAGCAGTACGTGAAAATGACTAAACGCGAGAAGGAGGAGCAGCTGATGGAACTGATGTGCATAGTTGCGGGAATACGTTTGTTCAACAGAGATTGTCAACGCGGAGGAGAAGGCATCGACGACCGTGAGTCCTTGACGATTATCAGAACGAATGGTAAACGTAACGAACAAACGAATCTCGTATGCAAAATACTTCTTTTCAGTGCCGGCTATTTTACAGACCGCTATTAAGAGAACTCGTGATTCGATCGTCGAGTTTCTAGAACGCTTAATGCTCAAGATTTACAAATTCACCGCGGCTGTTGACAAGGCTCATTTAATCAAAGAAGTGATACCGTTCGGTGTTTTTACAATGGAGAATATAAACTGGACGATAGAAATGTTAACGGCCTGTCGGCAACAAGAAATTTACATCAGGTTGTGCGAGCTTCGGTATCGATAATTTCACGTCGACCTAAAAACACGCTAATCGTCGTTCTTTTCACAATAGAAAACTACTAAGCGACGCTGAACGCAGCGAGAAAGAGATCAAATGTCTCATGGAACGTCTCCAAGGGCGTTTGTTCAAACTTCACGACACCGTAAGATACAGGACTGCTATTCCTACGGTTCAAGTATACGTAAGAATCGACGTTCTACATTTTTCTCGATCAATATTTTATTTTACACATGTTCCACGAAATTTTTCGCATTTTCTCAGCCGCAGTTCATCGATTTGGCCGATATATGGATGGGTCTCCAGGACGAAGTTATCATACTCAGCGGTATCAATAATTTCCTCTGGGAAATAGAAAATTTAGGCGCAAGGGTAACTACTGGATATAATCTTGTACATGTATATGTGAACACAGAGATAAATATTCGATGCCTCGTAGACGGTGAACGTGTACAATGAAACGATATTGAACGACATGCTGTGTAACGAAGAGGTTCTCACTGACGCTGACAGATTGAAACAATCGATGGGCCAATTAATACGTAAAAAAAAAAACAGAAGAATTACGGTTTACAAAAACATTATGTAACATTGTTGTAACGATACAATTTCTCTTTTTTTCAGTCGAATGCGGCGACTGTACCATTTATTATCCTAACGAAACTAAGGATTTCGAGAACATAAATCTAGAGGTGAAAGATCACGCACGAGAAATTAGATATTACAACAAAGTGCCGGTTATTCGCGGTTCCTTAGGTTAATGAATTCCTCGTCAGTTTCTAGGATTTTGCGCGTGGAAGTTTGTTAGCGGGCATGGAGCGTTGGTCCCGGGAAATCCGAATAATGGAGTGGCGAAGTGGAGAGGGAAATACTATGTTTTCAGTTCGAGTACGGCAGCAGAAGAATTTGGAAAAGATCCGGACAGGTATCTCGATGAAATTATAAAAATGTAGTAAGAATCTTAGGAAAAGAGAAATGATTGCAGGCACATTTACGAGGCTCTCCATTTCATACGCAATCACTTGCATTATGCGTACTTGTTTCAAGTGTACGAAGACGTTCAAGCTTTACAAACGCAAGAAGTGTAAGTATTTAAGCATCGAAGAACGAGTATATCGTAGAATGAATAAAATATGTATACAATAAATTGGCAAGGGTGTCCGAAGAAGGGGCTCAATTGAAAACTTGCCAACATCAAATGGTTCAAACAGATGTACATATACTTCCATCCTTTATCGATAAAGAATACAACTGGAACATCTGGGAACTGAGAAATAGAGCGTTACAATTAGTAAGTAACGTTACTGGAACATAAAAGAAAGAAAAACGTGGAATGCATGACGTCGTATTACCCTTTTTTTTTTATAGGCAAGCCTGAGTAAACGTGTAACACACAGCACGCAAACGTATAAATCCAACTTCCGATACGGTATTTACGTACAAGCAGCTCCGCCCCGTGACAAAGAGGTTCAAACAAGAAGAGATAACTATACGAACACTAAGAAACTCTTGACTTATATCTTTGGGCTGCGGGGAAGGCGAGATGACAATCAACACGTCTTATCGTTCTTGGAAGACGAACTTGAACATTTATAAACGTCCAGCTGTATGTATGTACGTGAGAGAGAAACCCGAGTCTCGTAGGAGAAAAGCTGGGTAGGAACGTTCCAGGATATCCACACGACAGAATGAAGCTACAAAGGGCAGTCTAAAAAAAAAAAAAAAAAAAAAATGAAAGCAGTATTTTTTTTTTAATGACGGTCTCAAATACATTCACGGAACACCAGGGCGCAAATATGCACGTTTCTTCGTTTAAAAAACAAACTAGTACTATAATTTGTCATTCCGTGTACACGATCATTCTTTTTTTTTTTTTTTTTATCTTTTACCGTAGTAATATGTCTTCCGTTCGTTATCGTCAGATATTTGCAATGATTTCCTCGTGGCTTTCATTAATTTAGGCCAGCGTTCATTAATTTATATTCAAAATACACAAATTTTTTTTTCCATACATCGAGGCATGGGGCATCCATATCTCAGGGAATAATTCCTTACCTCACACCATGAACCTATCTTATTTTCTACATTTCAACATTGCGCAGCGCTGCACGTACTGTGACTTCTTTTAATATGCATACACCGTACCTTCACTGAATACATCATTATTTTACTATTAAATCTTAAAAGTTAGGTCAATTTTTTACACCAAGAAACCTATATTACGACAATAATTAGTAATTACACGATAATACAATTAAATTTCGCTTAGTAATAATTTCAGTGTATAATGTAACTATTATACAGAAGAGGTACAGGATGTTGATTTTTTCGCATCGTCTTTCTCTTTATTTTTTACCGCACTTTTTTTTTCTAACTTTACCACATATCTTCTGTCTCCTTTGTTGACAATATTATGTCTTTGTTACATCCATCGTCGAAAAGTAACCAACATTTAAAAAATAATAAAAGGATGAAAATAATGTGTGATACTTGGGCGGCAGTTTGTGATTTAGAGGAAAAAAAAAATGAAGTATAACTATAACAATTACTATCATCGAGAAATCTCTTCGTATTCAAATTGTCATGTAGTAAAATAAAAAAAAAGAAAGAAAAAGGGATCACTTTAAAAGAACTGCAAGCACTTTTTGCTGCTTTAGTTTCCACTGCCACAATGGCACACCGTATTTTCATGCTTGGTGAGAAAGGGGGGGGGGGCTTTGTTTACGAGAACCACCAGGCAAACGATAAAACATTAATTCTGAATACATTGACTTAAAACCAGCTTATTGACTATCGGCCATTTTAAAGTTTTCCATATTTCGAAATCATCCGCAAGTCCACGGTACCGGCCCTTCCTTCCTCGTTTATATCCCTTCCGACACTGACCGACTTTACGTGAATTCATACTCGTGGGTCATCATTTGCGTACACATTTTTGGGCAGCTTTGAACAATGTTAACGAGCCGCGCTTTTAATAATGCCCATAGATTAAGATGCTACATCGCGACATACTCAATGGGAAAGAGCAGCTACCATGGATAACAGAATTCATCGGAATGGTGTAAACATGGCTAAAGTCTTAAGTCGCAAGAAATATGTTTGTGTTTGTATGTATGTATGTATATTTATGCATGTATCGTGTGAGAAAGATGGAGAGATGCACTTTGCATCTTGGAATATGTTATACAATGTTTATAACTTGTCAGAGATCGTGGTTCGGGGATGATTTTAATCTACAAAGTGACTTTTGAGGTACTTCATCATACCGAAAGTTCTGAAACGTTTTACTCCAATTACTTTTAGTAGTTCGTCATCGCAGATTGCGAACTGCTTGTTCTTAGGGTCCTGCAAGATAGTAGGAGCACGTGTGAATTAAGTACGTCAATTTTGAAAACAACACACATTACAGAGGTAAGGTTAGCGTAATTGCGGTACTTACATAGAGGTTTCTTTCTTTGATAATGCTCCAAACCTTCCTCACGACTTCGTGCCGAGCCATTTGTTCAGCGCCAACAATGGCAGCAAGTTCAGGAGACAATGTAATGGCACGAGTATAGCCACCCTTACCTTTGCCGCCACCTTTCTTTGTTCCACCACCTTGAGCTTTCTTATTTTTACCCCAATCTTCATCGCTGTCGCTGTCGCTGCCTTTTTTCTTACCTTTCTTTCCAGGTTTACCTATTAAAAAGGCCAATAAAACAATTTAGAACACTTTAGAATACAAGAATATAGAGACACGTGGATATAAACTATTATTTTTATATGTTCTATCAACCCTTTTTTGGAGTAGCTTTCGATTTCTTTGGGCTATATTCTTCGTCGCTGGCGTCGTCATCGCTTGCGCTCTCTTCATCGTCGGAAGAACCCTTCTTCCGCTTGCTTATTGTTTTCTTTGCAGGACTCCTTTTTGCTGGCTTCTTTTCCTCCTCCTCCTCCTCCTCCTCTGATCCTTCTTCCTCTTCTTCCTCTCCATCTTCAGATTCTTCGCTGGCAGTCTTCTTCTTCTTCTTTGTTGCATCTTGTTTCTCTTGTAAACAGTCCATAACTAAACTGTCTACTTCTTTTTTCCTGTACAAAATTTTCATGTCTCAGTTGGTGAAGAAAGCGTACAAACTCAGGTTGAAAAATAGACTTAATCTTAAAGGAAATGTTGAAGGGAGGAACGGGGTGGTAACCTGAGAGAACAGTTCCACACAGAGATTCCTTCTTTTTATCTAGGATACGGATTGACTCACTTCGGAGCCAGTTGGACTACCAAAGTACCTGTTGTATCCAAACATTTCATCTACATTTTATATAAACTCCGAAAGAAATGTATTCCTGTTAGCAACGAACATAGAATAATTTACATAAACCACCCTTACCTCTCGGTGAGGTCTATGTCAAGTTTTCCTTCAATCTGTAGCCTCACTTTCTTAGCAGACATAGTGGTAAGGTCGGCATCCTTAAGGATAGCTAAAAATAAAAAATAGATTTACATTTAGTGGAAATATTGAAAATTTAGAGTAAGGTTATTAAGCAATTCATTCGTTAAACACAATGCTTCATTTACGTTTGATTTGTTACGCGTGAAGAAAATTTGCGAAAATATGAGAAAGAGCAATGGAATTAGAAAGGAATGAATTGTAAATGTCACGGTTATATCGATAAAAGATTTGAAAAGAGAAAGAATTGTAGATAGGAGATAAAATTTGGTGTAACGTAGCTTTCCGCGTAAGGAAACTAGTAAATATTGAACGTAAATGGCCGTGCTGTTGATTGTGCCGGTTACCGATTCTCTCTCTAGCACAAAGAAAAGAATTTCTGAAAGTACGGCTCAATTTTATTGTATTTCTAAAACTGCTTTCTTTGCACGAGCCGATCGATCGTCGAATACATCGGCCTGTGGAACCGTGGAAAATCGGTAAAAAGTTGAAACATGCACGAGTAGGAACGATAGAAGAGGTTGGAGGAGATAATCGGCGAGGTCGTGTTTCGTGATTCGAAAGCGAAACTCGAAAGGAAGAAACGAGGAGAAACGAAAAGTATAAGTACTCGAAGAGGAAAAACACGAAAGGGTTATCGTACGCAATCGTGATGATTGGAGTCGGCGGGAAAAGGCATGAATCAGGGAATATTCACGGCAACAGAGTAGGTTGTGATTGCGAGTGTAACAAGCGAGTAAAATTCAAGGAACGAGGCTATATTTGGATTGGTAAAATAAAAAAATAAAAGCAGAATCCGTTGAAATATTCTGGAAAATGAGGGCACGGTCCATGCTAAGATCGCTTTTCACGGCGCAAAAGACGTTGAAGACAAGAGAAAGAGCGAGATACGAAGCATGCGATGGCTTCAGGCGCGCGCCACCACAGCCAGACGCGTCATACAGCATACTATAGAAGAAGGACGGGGAAAGCGTCCGTTTGTAGGAAAAGTGAGGAAAAATCGTAATTTTCCCAAGGCGGGGAAATATTTTGTTAAAAATCTACTAACGAATTACACGAAACGGTTTGGCGATACAATGTCCCGACGATGCTGTACGTAGGTGGAAATACGGAGTATCACGGTTGCAATGGCCGGCGTGGGGCACGCCACTTCGTCACATACGTGCGCGCTAAAATCGTCACGTCGCAAGAGTAAAGAGCCTGATTTCCTACGTATTCCTACTCGCGAACGTACTAATAATTTGCGGCACGATTCATTACCAACTTAGTTTTACGATATTCAGAGGTGAGAGTTCGGTAAATCGAAGGATATTGCCACTTACCGGTGATTTCTTTGCGAAGTTCTTCGTTCGAAATATCAGCCATGGTGCTTCTCGCTGTGCGTACTGCTGCCAACTGAACCTATGCCGGCTGCGGACTCCCGTAGCGTCCGTTGGTACACTCACCCTAGAGAGCCAAGCGATACACGTTGATTTAACGAAACTTGAAAAACGGATATCTCAGCAGGGATAGGTTAAAAACGAATACTATATACACCAAATCGTGTTAGTTTTTTCCAAGCTACAAGTTTCTTATGACGCCCCACACGCAATTTTGCGATCGAACCAACCTATTTCGACGTTCCGCCAATACTCTGGCGAAAGTGTTTTGGTTACGACTATACTTGAAGCGACCGCTCGTGGCTGCCGGTGGCGTCTACGGTACAGTCGCCTCGTATACACAATGCTGTTTCTTCCATAAAATATATTTTCAATAATCCATAACATTGTTCCCGGACATTTTCTACGGATATTGTATACACCGAATCGGGTCAGTTTTTTTTTCTCTACAAGTTTCTTATGACGCCCCATGCGTAATATTGCGATTTAACGGATTGAAATATAATTTTTCACGATCCTTGTGGCAATTTCATCGAAACAGACTGTACAAAGCGACCACTCTGGGATTCGGAGCGTCGAGCATATAGTCGCATCATATGACAATCACTATACATTCTACAGATATGCCAAAAAAACTACTAGTTTATTGAATATCGGTCGCGATTCCGATTTATTTATGCGAAACTACACATCGAGAGTGTCGTTCTCGCCTGCGATTGTAAATTTCTTTCGTTTCACCGATACATACATACATATGTATATCGTATCGTCTATATCGCAAAGTTCATTATCTTTATCTATAACAATTCTAGTATTCTGTTTATGAAAGGAGAATTTTTCGCCTCGATGCATACGACCGATACACGAAGTAGTCTGTATCTGCTTCGAAATGTAGAAAGTTTATGTAACATTATCATATCTAAAATATATTTATCATATCTAAAAATTGATACATTCGCGTGTAATTGCATCCAATCATGCAATATTTTAATAGGCCGCGACTGTCGAACCGACCACTCGGTTCTTCCTCGCTTTAGTGGTACAGTAACACTCAACACATACGAAAGGATGCTTCTAATAAACGATGTTTGAAAATTCATAACTTTTTAACGGTTCGCCGGAGGGCAATGCTGTATTTACAAAATCGTATCAGTTTTTTACGAGGAAAATATTTCTCAGGAAGCGCCTTTCGCGATTTTACCATCTAAGGCATCTAGTCGAAGGTTATCGCATAGCCGACGTAAACATTTCTGGGAGTGACTGTAGCCAATGTGGCAGGTTCGTTGAAAGACGAATTTCTCGATAAAATTTCATATAAATTTATTTTATAAACTTAATCAAAATATATTAATATTTTTTCCCCGACGATCTACGCGTTTAAGTTCTTTTATTCTAACCTAGAAAATGTATTTACCGATGACACGTCGGAACATAATGCCGCCACGGGTGTTTGAACGCTTTAAAATGGCGATTAAATTTTTCGCGGATTCATTCGGAGTCGACCGTTATCACGATTATTTCACGCTAATAAACAACATTTTGCTAATGCACATCGTTACGATAAAGTCACACGAGTATTTTATACAGCAAGTTGAACTTTTCGAACAAAAATGAACAAATTACGAACTTTCGCGAAAAGTGGGATCATTTTCCCTCTCAATTTTCTGTCACTTCCGGTGCAACGATAGCACAGTTTTCACAACGAGAAATTACGTATATGTTAAGTACAAGGATTTGTAAAATATTCCACGAGAAATTATAAAAGTGATTTTTATTGGACGAACGAATACTTTGTTTTTTGTTTGTTATGCATGCAACACAGGTTACAGTTGCAGAATCGTCACGGAAATATTGACATTTTCGGGTTACAGCTAAGTTTGTCTCGCCATCTAGCGTTGTAACATGCATTTCTATGTCGTTAACAGATGAAGGCGATGCAATCAGAAATGGCGGGAAATTCCAACTTGGTTACTTTTTCGATTTG